GGGTAAACAATGATGGCTTTATGCTTCTTCAAAACGTTCACATGCGAGGAGCATCCTTCACATTGAAATTGCCGTTTGTTTCGTCGCACAATGGTGTATATTCGGGATATATGGCCATGTTTACGATTGTATTCAAGCGAATAAAAGTGCATTTATCTTAACAGCGAATTCAAATTGAATGAATTGAAATGCTTCAAAAATTTATAATCAATTGAAAAACGATGTCAAACAATTATATTTGTGGTACTACATCACTTCAATAGCTTTTTTGTTGTGCTGACGTTATTTACAGCAAAAAAGTGTGAGAAACTGAAGATTTTCGGGAGAACAATCAGCTAAGGAGCATTGCAAATCGACGAATTTTGAGCCATTGTTGTTTGAAAAATGGAATTGTTCAGTTCGACCGTGCTTATATTTCTATTATAATTCAGAGACAAATCATCAATCAGTTATCTCATGAATAATTATATCACACTCAAAAAATTTTTATTATTGTTTCGGAGGTCGATGGTTTCAATTGCGAAATGCCTACGTAACGCTTGTTTATTTGATTGCTTGATCAGTGATAAAATCCTGATTAGCAATATTATGAGCACTTTTTTAATCATTAAATTTTAACAATGCCAATTCTATCGCTTGTTAAGATTCATCTTGATACACCTAGAATGTTAAAAGTATATATATTCTCGCATTTCAAGTTCAACCGCACTTCGAGTATACATTCGAAAGTGCATTTGTACCAAAAGTGTACTTGTTTTATGATGTGTACTTGCAAACATACTAAGTCATAGAACTAAGTTTTTTTAAGCAAAGCCATTCTTGAATATACAACAAACATTTCGAAACATTTTCAGCAATTTCAATATTTCTTCGTGAAAAAAGATAGAACAGCAACACTGAACAGTATCATACACATACCATAAAATGAAAATAAACTTGGTGAACATCAAGCAAATTGTAACAACACGACAGTCAAAATAGAAATGCAACTGCAAAAATGGGGAAATCAAAATGCACATCGCAGATTCTCGCAATTGTGTTCACATTGTCTATTGCAATCCACTGAAGTGATTGAATAATGTGGATTAACGGTAATCGGATCATCAGATGACGTTGATGCAAACTAATAAACGAATAAAACTTATGGAATATCTTATGGAAACAGAGAGTTGTGTTTCGGGAAGGGAATCCTCAACTGAACAGTAAACGATATCTATTGATAATATGATGATATTTATTTGAAACTGATCGAAATTGAAACGGCGAAAAGAGATTAATAGGTGTACTCGTTGGTTCGATCGCTGTGGATTGTATTATTTCACATATAGTGGAATTTTATTCAAATTCATTTCATGATACATCATCATGTGATATCATCACTACCCATAACACATGGATTAACGTTGCGAGCGATTGTTTGCTTAACATCACTGAATAACAATAATAATAATGGTAACAATACTGATAATATTACCATTATTATTGTTATCGACACAAAAATTACTAAAAATGATGAAAGCGATACAAATCCAATAGAATAACGTCAAATGGTGAACCCTCTACTCAAACGAATGCTTGTTATTGTTGCTTATATGTCGTCCTATACAGCAAAGGTTGATAAGTTAGTGTTATCAGATGCTAATAGCAATTCAATGATCCATGAGTAGATCAAGCCGTACTCATGAGTTTGTGAGATGATGAATAAAATAGCACGCTTGAAGGTTCCTGTCTAGAGATCATCGGGTTTCCGATCATCGGATTCCTCAGAGAGTATCGCAAATCGCCTAAATCAGCCGAGATGAGACTGCTGAAGCGTGGCTGGACGCGTTTTGAACCGTTCAATTCATGTGACACTGGAACAGGTGGGAGAAATATGTGGAAACATAAAACCAAAAGATGTCGCGTGACCAGAGAGTAGAGAAAAACATTTGAGACGTATCATCAAAGCATATACAACGACGATACCTCAACAATACCCGTTTCACAACAAAAAATGAAAAACACTCAATGAAATGCGAATGGAAATCTTCAACGATACAAATTCATTATGAACAATAAACATTCTCTCAATAATCTCGTAAAATCACGACGCTAGAACAATCCAATTTACAGAAGCACGGACAACGAAAAACGGTTGATTATGAAAGTGATCAATGCAGCGAACTGCAAAATTTTGACTGT